ATATTCTCATTTGTGACTAGAAAGAACATGTGACCTTTTTCCCATTGGGTAGTGCCAGTTACACATGATTTCTAAATTATTATTTCTAAACTGCAACAGTTTATTAGGCATTCAATTCACTGAGTTACTTTCTATACAATATACTTTCCTATGATAATATGAATATGAAACGCTTAGTCTGGTCTAACTAGTACCTAGGCAAAAAACAAATCTAGCGCAGGACCGACGGCTTTACGTGCTCTCCGAGGCACGGGGTGAAACACCGCCAACTTCCCAACTCTGGGCTGTTACTGAGGCTTACTATACAGAAAGACTCAATAACTAAACATGGCCCGACCCGGGACTCGAACCCAGGACCTCCGGGTGTGCAGCCGTACATGCTAGCCACTACACCACCGAGACAGTTAGTGAATTATGTACTATAAATATGTTACTCAATATTAGTATTTACTTACAAAATCGTCACTTCTAGTTAGTAATTCTTTTAACGAGAAATGTAGGTCCTATGGTGGGGTTCCTATAAAATTGTCTAAAATATTGAAGCTTTAAAAAAAGCTAGATTAAAACAAAAACTTTAACAACGTTACCGTGCAACGCTTTTATAAACTACTAGCAGAACTCGTGGCTTTGCTTGCGCTAAAACTAGAAATAAAATCTCTAAAAAGTAAATAGATAGTTTTATACAAACTTTTACCCTCTTATGGAGGATGAATTCGAAAAATGCTAAAACACATATTTAATTTTAATGAAGAGCGATGATATACCAAGATTGAAGTAATTTTGATCATAAATATTTTTTTGGATTGTATTATAATTTATAACGTGTTTTCCCGTGGGAATTAAATAATTTCCCGCGGTAAAAAGTAGCCTATGTCACCCTCCAACTCTGCAAATATCTCCATACAAAAAACAAACAAACAAACTTTCACATTTATAATATTAGTATGATTTTTTATTAGATAACACGATTTAGTATTAATGTAATTGCGTCTAGACTCTTTGAATGTAAATTGATCATTTGACTGATGATGAATATTTGAAAAAAAAGATAATACTTCCGCTAGTTTTTGTACTAGTTCTTCCGTAGAACCAATGTCTAGGTAATTATATTTTAAAACCGATTTCCAAAAAGGAGGAGGTTCTCAATTCGTCGGAATCTTTTTTTTATGTATGTTCACCGATTACTCGAAGACGCCTGAACCGATTTGGTTTTTTTTTGTTTCAAAGGGTATATAGGTAGTACCTACTTCCCAAGTTCCATTTAAATTTTATCTCTTAAATAAATTGCTTAATCGAATATTTTATTAATTAAAAAACTTTCTTTTTACAAATTACCTGTTTATTAACTTATATACACTAATTTGATTTCGATTTTAACTTCATCAATTATCTATGCTATGCAATGCAGAATTATCATATACTAGCGACTCACCTCGCTTCGCTTGGGTTGGCCCCAAGGTACGTTTTAACGGTTAGTATGGAATAGATATATGATATATTAGTATATATACAATATACATATATACATACTGGTGTGATGAATTTTATATCCTTTACTTGAGAAATGATTGACTCCCATACAAACTTTCTACCCCCTTTCAACCCTCTTTAAGGATGATTTCCGGGACAAAAATATCTTTCCCAGGGTTTCAACCGACCAACCGACTAAATTTATAAAATATTGATAATATTTTTATGATATAAAATACCATCCTATAAATATAATAAATGCGAAAGTTTGGATGGATGGATCATGGTGCTCATCCCACAAATGAATGCCCCCAGCGGGACTCAACCAGCGACCGCTGGCACAGCAAGTAGGGTCACTACAAACAGAGCCAAACATGTCGTCAGAATTTCGTGATTATGTTTTTCTTCCTCCATGCAGTGTAGAATTTTTCCTGACTCATGAAATGATTCAGGATTTTATGGAATAGTACTATATTTATTTAAAAGTACAAGAAAAATATTTCCTTTTATTATCTTAAATTATCGACAAAGTTAAAACTTTATTTTTAGCATTAATAAAATACCGCCTACAGAATAGAAATTTAGAACTAAAATGTTAAAACCTCAATGTCTCAAAAATAAATTCGATTCATTTTGGCTCGATTTATAAAAGAACACCGTCAAATGGCGGCGGCAATTGTGTCGGGTTTTAATATATCCTAGGACGCTACTTAAGTATACTTTAAATCTGAAAATGATCTATAACATGAGTTAATTGTAAAATAAAAGGTAACGCGTGTAATTTACGTTTTATTGGTATGTGCTCTACCGGAAGTGACAGGTTCGATTTTTGCTTTGGGTAAACTATTAATTATTATCAACTAGCATCTTACGCGCCATAGGCGGGTAGGTGTATATTTAATTACTAACACCTGTGAGTACTTTAGGTCATACTACTACTACTACGTTTCAGCGATAACGAGTAACAAACATACATACATACAAACTTTCGCATTTAATAGTAGTTATAGACTATCTAAATTGTTTTCATAAAAATTAAAAACCATGTAAGGTTAACACTAACGAGCTTTTGAATTATCATAAATAATCTCAAAAGAACAATATAACCCTTTTGTAAAACTAAGAGTAACTTGTAGAATATTATCAGTACTTAACTTTGAGGCACAATATGTTAATGTTTAAGCCAGACGCGTCATGATGTCACCCGATTACTCACAACCACGATAATTCTGCCCAATCCACGCATACACCTAGGTCATGAACAAACGTAAATACCGTTTTTAATATCTATATCTATATATATGTTATATAATAAATATAAGGGACTAATCACTACGCTAGAACGGTTTTGGCTTTTGCTCTTAAAGTATGTTTAGGGTGGTATAGAAGTCAATTGAATATTTTAGAATATAAATTCATAACAGCGTTTTTTTCTCGCTTCGCTCGGATGCCTGACATTTCCTCCAAACCTGTCCAAACTCAAAAGTTTCAGAGCGAAGGACTAAGAAACATACACACATAGTATATAATGAAATGTTGTACACTGAAAATAGACTGTCTTAAACCTGCTCTATGACCTGGATCTGGAACACATACGTGAACTTGTAAAAAATATGCTGTTCAGGCTTAGTATAATAGATTCCTGTTGGAATGATAATATGAACTAAGTTTTTATAATACTTTCTTAATTTTTTCTTAAATTTACGCGAAGATGTGATATTTTAAATAAAACTATTTTTTCGGTTTTTTTAAATCAAAATAAACCTGCGAAAAAATACGAAAAGATAGTTTTATTTAAAAGCTAGGGTTTAGATAGTGTTGAATGATTACATATTATGGATCACAATCCTTATCTTATTAAGCCAAGTCGTCTGCGCGGGAGTTATTAGTGCACAATAGTGTACGCTATCGTCCTCGGAAGTACTTCCGCACTTTTATAATTAAAGAAACAAGAAGATTATATTCTATGTGTATTTAATATTATAAGTCATAAATTTCATACACAAGTACGTTCGATAAAAAAATCAAGGTAATTTGTCATTTTTTAATTAACTTTATCTTAAAACGAGGAACGTTTGAATGATTTTATTTCTAAATAAAATCGCTAAATTGTTATCGTTGCAAATTTTTTTGTAAGTCTAAAAATCTGGCTCTCAATAATTCATAAGACTCTCTTATTGAAAAATGTGATATGTAAAAACAATATATATTTTTTGAAAGCTACTATGTACTTTGTAGAGTAGTTATTTACATTTTAAGAGACTTTAAAGTTTCAATTAGCATCATTAAATATATAGGTAATCTAACAACTTGCCAACTTTGTCACCGTACTTAAAAAGTAAATTTTCTAAAAGAAAGTGGTAACATATATTTACTATTTATAACTAAAGTACAAATAATACTTTTGTTAATTTATGATTTTATTTTATTACATTACTCATAATAAGAAAATAAATACTATAAAAATTTAAAATGGTTTTTGACTGCGTAAAAAAATAATTAAAGAGATGAAAGCAAGTTGACAAAGAAACATAATATTATGTTGTCGAAGATATATGTATATGTAACAATACTCGCAACGAGGATAATACATGTATGTATACATATATTTTTATATTATCCATATGATACTCGCGTTATCAAGATGAATCTAACGACGTATAAATCATCAAAATCAGTTAGTCCGTTTAGTAATTACAAGGGAACATAGGATCGGACATACATACAAACATAGGTAAATACATACATACAGATCAAACACATAACCATCCTTTAGGTTTCGCCACAGTCGGGTACAAACAGGATGCTAGCTAAAAGTAGAAAATCTAAGTTTACAATAATCTAGATTTTTTTAGAAGTATTTCATCCAAAGAATTATTGGGTTGAAAGGAAAATTCCGGAAATTCAGCAATAATTTACAAACACTAAGCAGACTGACAAGAAAAAGCTGTAGCAACAAACATATCGAACTTAATCCTAAATAATCGATGACGGATATATATACAAACCATAGAAAATATAAATTTGCCTCACGAAATTATTTTTAAATTTGCGATAAATTGCCGCATTTCAGTTAAGTGGGTGGTTCTGGCCTTCTACATTGGATGAACGAACTCGATATTTTTAAATGTTTAACACCTGCCCAATTCGCGAACTAAGATTTCATTATTGATCGGATTGTAACCCAGCTGATTTCTTGCGAATGAAGGTGATTAACGTTGTGTTGCGCACGCGCAGCGCGCGCTCGTTCCGTATACATTCGCATTCTTTCTTGGCTCAGTTTCCCATTAGAGTTTTTTGTTGAATAGTTTTTGTGAATGTAAAGTATATTTATTTAGTACAAAGAATATACAATAATTATAATAGCTCAATTAAATTAGTCAATAAATAATATTCCCTCCACGACCGCGGACACGCCGGCGTGTCAGTTAACAATAGATTTCTTAGAATTTTAATTAATTTTTTAGAATTTTACCTCGAGTTGATATTTGAAAGATTTAAATCATTTATACAATTATATTTTGTTACAGGTGCTATGAGACTTCGTGGGATCAACTCAATATAAGGCGTTTTCACAATTAAAATTTTATTTACGTATAATAAAAAAAAACACAACAGGGCGTAGTTTAATTTTTTTGTAGCACTCGCGATAGTATGTGAGGTGATGTAAGTGAGACTATGGACATAGTGTTAGAGTGGCGGCTCTATGGCTATGTCTATAATTTTGTATGCAATATGAAATGATTTGCAGTGTTATAAAATAAGAAAACTATGCTATCGTGCGTGAAGGTTTAGTTTATACGAGTATGTTAGACTTAAGTTTAATTATAGACACGTAAAGCAAATTTAGTCAACTTACGGACTTGACGAACTTGGCTCTTTTTCCTTACGGCGATGTATTGTAGTGGCACACACTAAAATATTAAATGTTTTTAATTCTAATATATGTAATTTCTTTTTTTTAAATAATATGATTATTAAAAATTAATTACAATTCCAGATACACGACGCCACAATCATTTCAAAGGTTTAAAAGTGATCAACTTTCGGTTTACTAATAAAGTACTTCAGAACGAAGTGGAGGAGGCCATCCTTAATTTACACATTCAAGAAATAGAATCTAGGCATAATATTACTATAACAGAAGAACATTTTACCATAAATATCCAAGTAAATAGAGTAACGAGAAACAGTCAGGGGAATAAAGCCTCTGTGCCATATGCTGAGAGTGCGATAAAGATGTCCAGGAAAGATTTGAAGGTTGGGAAGTGGGTTAAGGTGAATGTAACAAATATGGTGGCGGAGTTCTTCAGGTTGCCGAGAGAAAACCTGGCGATTGTAGTGAGAGTGCAAGACTCGAAGTGTAAGATGAGCTTGGTGGTACCACATCCAAGCTCCGAATCAAATAATGCATTGGTAAGTTTTAACTTATAATATACTAGCGACTCACCCTCGCTTCGCTCGGTTTCGTCCCTACGTTGATTCCCCATATAAACTGTCATCCCTATTTTCACCCCTTTAAGGAATGATTTCTGGGATAAAAAATATTCTATGTCCTTTCCACAGTCTCAGACTATCTTCTTACCAAATTTCATCTAAATCGGTCCAGTTGTTTTTGAGCTTATCCGTTACAAACATACAAAAATACAAATCTTTTCACTTTATAATAGTAGTGTAGATAATAAAATAACCATTTCGCTTTTTACAATAAAAACAACGAAAGTTTATAATGAATATTTTATCGCAATAACAATATATGTAAATGTAAAAGTTTTCGAGTCTGAGAGGCAACTAACAATTTTATTAAACTTTTAATTTATTAACTTAATTAATTATTTATTATTACATACAATATATACTTACAATATACTATTATACTACCGTTAGACACTCGTCGATATATTAAATAGACGATAAATATTTGCCGAGCGGAAGTCGAACCTGTGACTACCACTAGACACATTAGATAGTAGTTTAGTAAAAAATTAAATCTTGAGATATATAAAGTATAATTACAGAAGAATTTATAATCTTAGTTTTAATGATACTTATTTCATGAATAATAGGGCTGCAGTTTAATATATGGGACACGGCCCCTAGAGGAGTGGGTAGTAATTTTGGATAGGGGAGGCGATAGGGAGTCCAAATATATAAATTTTATTTTGAGGAAACGAAAGAGTAAAAAGTTTTTGAGACTTAAAATTATAACATTTCCATACATATTATTACATTACTGCCATTTTAACACTTGGAAATGTCAAAATTTCACTTTCAAGGGCCAAAATGATCTTAGCAGGGGATATAGCAGGGTTCTGGGTTTGAAATAAAAAAAGAACTAACGAGAAGGCTAAGGCGAGAGATACGCTACGCTTCGCTCCCGCCTTAGCCTTCTCAACCTACGTTATCCAAGTCGGACTGCCAAATAAAAAAAAAATACAATCAAAAAAATATTTATGGTCAGAATTACTTGAAACTTGGTATTAATGCTCTTCAATAAAATTAAATCAATACGTGTTTTACCATTTTTCGAAATTCATCTCATTTGAGTATTTTTGTAATTATAGCGCGAGCTAAGCCGCGGGTTCTGCTAGTAGTTTATATATGTATACTGTTCATAATTTATATCAATAAATTTCAATGTTACTTCTACGATAATGACAATAAAGATGTCATAAATTACCTTTTAAGCTCACATAATTTTTAATATCTGCCCCCGTATATATCGAATTGACCCATTAACGGGTCAATATTTAGGTCAATCGACTTCGTCTTCATACTCGTTTGAGTATAGATAAAAATTTTCATCTCTCATGTTTTAACTGTTTAAAATCTGTAATAATCTTTGCTATTGTTTGTTTGTTTGTTTGTTTGTTTGTTTGTTTGTTTGTTTGTTTGTTTGTTTGTTTGTTTGTTTGTTTGTTTGTTTGTTTGTTTGTATTTTTGTCTCCTAACAACGCAATTGTTATTAACGTAATGACACGTACATACTAAATAAAAAGGAAATAATATTTTTTTAGATTTACGCGAATATTTAGCATTTTAAATAAAACTAACTTTTCTGATCTTTTCGTGGATTTATTTTGATTTTTAGTTCACGACCTTTCGAATGCTTTATAACAATCATGGTCACGAGAGAGACTAAGATTGTAGACGTCTTAAAGGCCATGACCATGATTGCTGTAAAGCATTCGAAACGCCAGGAACCAAAAATAAAAATAAATCCGCGACAAAATCCGAAAAGATGTTTTTATTTATAATAATAATAAAAGTTTTGGAAGTTTAGACATAACGCATTATTAAGTAACAAAGATACAACCATAATCGAAAACTTTTACATTTACATATATGTAGGTATATATAGTTAGAAGTTGGATGAAGCAAAGAATTTAATAGATAAAAAGCATGAATTAAAATAACTAAATATTATATTTTTAATTAAAACGTAATAGGCCTAGTGCGTCATAATTTTGCGTCGTATCTCAATTAGGCACTAAACGAAAAAATTATCATTGATGACCTATATACAAATTGCTTTTATCTTCGATTCAGTATAAAAATTTGCGGAATTTTCGAGCGATTTCACAGCTACGAAATTGTTTCAGATGCCATATGTAGAAATTAGTCTAAGGGACAATTCACACAAAAGAACCAGAAGGATGATTGGGATGGATTGCACTGAAAACTCCAAAGAAGTTAGATGCTGTAGATATCCATTATCAGTGAACTTCGAGGAGTTTGGATGGGATTGGATCATAGCTCCTAAGCAGTACGACGCTAACTACTGTAGCGGGGAGTGCCCGTACAGTTTCCTGCAGAAATATCCACATACCCATCTAGTTCACTTAGCCGCCCCTCAGGGCAGTGGTGGTCCATGCTGCGCCCCGCGACGGATGAGTAGCATCTCTATGCTGTACTTTGACCACGATCTTAACATCATCTACGGAACTATCCCCGGCATGGTGGTAGAAAGTTGCGGCTGTTCATAGCAACCGTTGCTTTACGCTCCAAGTTTTATCCGGACAGTAATCTTAGATCTATATTTTTGGCTTAATAAGGTTGAACCATTCAAAATTTTGATTGTTTACAAGGTAATGATCGATTATCGATTATGACCCATAATATGGATATGGATCGAGATTAATAGATTTGATTTATTTCTTCTTTTTACTTGGGGCTTTAAGTGTTTATATAGTGTTCTAATTGTGATACATTCGGTTGAAGACTGCGAACCCTTGTGGTGTGTGTGTGACTTTGGACATTACAGTAGTACTAGTTTGAATTTCATTTCATCACGATTTTAGATTCATCCCAGTTTAGTTTTCATTTATATTCATGAGAATAAAGCAATAATATCTACTTATATCTTACTTTCATTTTAAACTGAACAATAATTTATAATGCCTTCTATATATAATATACATACATACATTTAGACAGACAATAACTTTTATTCTCATATAATTAATAATATTTATGTATATCGACATATATTTCTTTGCATTTCTTCAAAAATGGCATTTATTTTCGAAACTAGATCTTAAAATTTAGTACATAAGTTATATTTTCAATTGTAAGTAGCTAAAATGTGACACAGGCACAGTATTTGTTATGATTTCAATTAAAAGCTATCCTTAATCAATAGTGCGTTGAACTGCCAAGAAAACAACAATGGAGAATGTAAATCTGAATACACAATGGCCACCTTAGAGGTCTACGAGGTTCTTGAACTAACTAAATATATATACTTTATGAATTTAACTATAATATGAAAAACTAAATTTTTATCAACTTTTATCAATTTTAATATAACTACACTGTGCCTGTGATAACTGTTTTCAAGCCTTCAAAAACTGTCATTTTAGTTAGGTCAGTTTAGAAGCTAGCGCCTAACAGTTTTTCTATCAAATTATAATTTTAAGTAGATAGGTAGTTTATGTAATTTCGATGTATTTCTATACAACGTACTTGTGAAAACCTCTTGACATTGTTTGGATCTCGTTCAAAATTTACTAGGTATAGCGGGTGGTGCTTAAATGTATGATTATTTGTCAGTACCCACCCTTCAAAAACGTATTATGTCAGCGAATGACGTTTTTTTTAGATTTTGCTTAAGTTTTAGAAAAGTTTCGAACTTAGATTTTTCAAAATTAGATCTCATTTGAGGCAGTTTGATTGTAAGCCTCGTAACAGATCTCCCTTGTTTGAAATGGTTTTGTAATGTTTCTATACAAACATTATAGTGTTAAGTGAGTTGTTCTATATGTGCCGTAATTCGATGGTTATTTCAAAATTTAACTAACAATCTCGTGTCATAAGATTAATGAAATAAATTTTCAATTCGTAAACACATTTGTCTCATTATTTTCCCTTAAATAACAACAATGACAATAGAATGAACCCATGACGAAAACATACAACTTTTTCTCCTAGATTTATTTTAAATTAATTCACAGTTTTTGTACAAATCGATGTAAAGAAAAAGCACTATTAGTAAAGATTTTTGAAAATTAAAATTCTCTGAAAGGCTTAAATAAAGGGTGAAAGTTAGTATTAGAAACAAAAAAATGCCGCACAAAGACAGTAAAAGTTGGTAGTACTGCGAAGAAAATACCTAATCTTTCACAATTAAACATCTTTAATATATAAATTTTCTTTGCATTTCAATTTTTTTAATCTATACATATAATAAAATTCTATGAGTCCAATTTGTACATTGAACTAATCATTACTATCGATCGAAGCTGAATTACTTTTAGAATTTTAGTCTATCTATCTGTCTGGGAACATATTACGAGAATATCATAGACAGATTTTGATGAAATTTGATATGCTATCATAGCTTTTTATCCGGGTCAACATATAGAATACTTTTTACTGGAATAAAATATGTAATCTAAAATAAATAAAAAGGGTAAGTCGCTAGTGATAAATAAATGATATAAATAGAAAAGAATTATGAAAATATAAAAAATTAACCTTACATGATCAATAAAATTTCATATTATATAATATATACATGTATAGGTATAGCTACACTACGCTATAGCAGGCGCGGTACAATAAAAGACACCTGTCCATTCGCGGGCATCCTTTCAGAACAGCCGCACTTTATTTATATAAACTTTAAATTATTTACACATTCTGTCTTTCCTACTTTACATTAATGTCAACGTTATTAAAATACAATCAAAACAAAAATAATATATAACAGAAATTCACATGTACATGTACAATTACATACGAGAGTGGGAGAAATATCGGACTAGTATACCCAAATACAAAAAATAAGCCCCCCCACATTATATTTTTAATTTTTTCTAAAAGTATTTTATAAATGTTGGCATTTAAAATATAAATTATTGTGTTAAAGAAAGCCAACAGTTTATCAAACACTTCAGTCTAAATATTGCTTAGTCGATTCAAAATATACAAGAAAACAATAATATGCACCTGTATCCAGAGTAGAAACAATTCCTTATTTCATTACGGTTGTATAAAACGTCATGGCATCAAAACGTAAACGATATACATCAAGTATACTATCTCCTAATGTACAGAAAGTGCACAACATCGAGTGGTGTCAGTCTATAATAAGTTGGATGGATTATTCGAAAATTTCATAGAAAAACAGCGTGAAGGGTGAAATAATAAAAATAATTGTATGGCAGTGTTTTTGTCGTAAAGAAACTTAACCTTATAAATGAAACATCACAGATTTCAAACCTAATAATTAAAAAAAAATGCTCGAAAATGCCATGATTTGAACGGAATCCCCGATAGAATAGTAAGGTCACACAGGAGGTTACAATAGACTACGCTAAGTATGTACAAGGCCGGCACGCGTTAGCGCGAACTGACGCTGAAACTTGAGCCGTTATTTAAATAGGATCACAGTGGAAAAAGTGATTTAAAGATACGTTTACATCTAATCTATAAATAACGTCCACGTTATGGCAAGTTTCTACATTAACGCTATCACTGGTTAGTGACACTAAAACTCCTATGGCTACGGTCATAGAAAATCCTTTGCTTTTTATACAACACTATCACTCAATGCACCGAGTTTAGAAGCTCGGTTGGGAGACAGTTCGCGGGTTGCCGGCCTGGGGGTACACGTCGTACGAGTTGTGGGGCTCTAGGTGGCACACCACGTTGTTCTCCCCATTCAGGACCGCGGCCAGGGCTCTCATGTTGTTCTCTTGGGGCTGGTGATATGGGTGCATCAATCTGCCGCTTTCATATGCGTGTCGGGGGTCGTAAGACCGCTCTAGCGTATCCCATTTGCCGTATTTTCCATAGTGCTCCTGTTCGTGGTGGTGCCTGTCCCCTGGACTGTATGAGATGAGGGGCCGATGGTCCCCGAAGAATTTGGAGCTAGATGATCCGTGGTGACCAGGGTTTTGCCGGCAGTTGTCCGGTCCAGAATTGTCGTCGGACATATCTGACATGAGCGTTTCGTTCCTTTCGATTTCTTCGTACACAGGATCGTCTTGAATCACTCGGAATTCTTCGGAACCTCGTCTGTATATCCTGCCCTGTTGCGAGGCTATTTCGGAATATGTATGATTTACATTCTGGCTTCCGTGGTGATGATGATGCTTTCGACGATTATCCTCTTTGTAATGTTTTCGGAAGATCATCTCTTGGCTTCCGGGTGAATGCTGAGACATGAAGACGTGAGGATTCCTGAAGTCATGGTTGTAACTTCTGGTCGTCTGGTATCCTTGATGATGGAGAGGACTTTCCTCATCTTTGATCATGTGCCTTGGTGATCCAGGGGCAATTTGGCCCTCACATTCCGGGTATGGGCTGTGAATGTGGCTCTGTTGCGCCATTTGCCGAGACAGAGTGTCGTGATGAGGTAGAGTCGAAGAGTTGACTGGGTGGTGCTTAGAAGAAGTGTTCTGCGAAAAGAAATTAAATATATAGTTTCTCATAACTTTCTTAATGATTAATAGTTAATAGCTTTTTTATTAAATTTACTCAAAACAATGATTAAAGCAATGATAATTAACTTAGAAAATCTAAAGACAGCTCAAAATTTTTAAACTAAATTCACTATAATTTGTTTAAAGTTAATGCAGGGAGCAAAGTTAGTTTGATTATTGTCTACAAATGTTTTTATAACTAAAAAGAATATTACAGTTCACAGTTTGTTACTATGAGTGATGATCAATCAGGTTGTGCTGTTTTAAATAGTAGAAGAATTTTCATGATTATATTGCTTTCCGTCAGATCGATAACTGAAAAGCTGAAATATCTTTATCAGTACCAATAATCTCTAAATGGAAAAGGTGGTAATTTCGATTATAAGATAATAAAAAATCACTTAAACAATGGGAAATTAGTTATTAAATCACAATTTTTGGTCGATTTGACGGATTAGGAAAGTGTTTGCTATAGTTAAAATTAGAAGGAGGTGGGATGGGCTACATGTGCGTGGGTCATGCAGTACACGCTAGTTAGATCATGCAGTTAGGCTATACTTAAGTAAGATCTCTAAAACCATCACCTGAAAGTCTATATATGTAATAATAAAAAAATAATAATAAAAATAATATTCAGTCTTTTTATAAAGTTACTGTATGTTTTATTAATATTTTGTTGATATATATGTGTGGAAGTCTGCTTACAAACAAAATTAGAATATAAAAATATATGACCAGTAACAGCGTTTGGCAATAAATTAGAAAAAAAAACTCCTCGTCTTCGCGATCCACTAAAATTCCCAAAAGAAATACAAATAATAAAAACTGAAACGATTCAAATCGACGAATATCCTTCTAGGCTCCGAGATCTTACCAAAGCCGTCTAATGCCCTCCCCTCACCTTCCATACATTCGTGTTCACCGTCCACTCGTTCGCGCCAATTGAGGCCGCCATTTTGTTAGAATAGCAAGATGGCGACCGCGATCGAAGGTTCTGGTAATCACTCGGTACTTCGATATTATTTCTGTAGCTATGCATCGAGGCGATGCTGTGCGAGTGAGAGGAACTATGAGGTATGTTTTGTGCCGCGGAATCGCGTGGGTTTCGCATTTCTTCATTGGGTACGTAAATAGGAGCAGTGGGACGGATCCATCTTGACGCTTCCGGTTGTAAGTTGTAACTCTGTTTGTATACACAAAGGAATATATAATCTACATAATATATAAGACCATAAGTTATTAAATTCTGTAGAACTACTACCGAGTTTTCATACGCAATGTATAGAGATAGGATTCGTTTAATGACACGGGCCCATTGAACTGCACTACGAACCACCACACCACTAAAGTTAATTTTGTTAGTCATTTGTGAAGCATTAGTTTGTTAGTAGGAAAGATATATATAATAAAAACATTCCGACTTACCGTGTACCTGTCAACCGAAATTAAATACACAATGTTAGTTAAAAACGAATAACACGATGTTATCACAAAAATTGAGCTGTCTTTTAGTCAACATTGAAGCCAAAGTGGTGTTTTTGGTGGTATTCTTTTAAAATCGGGTAAATTTAGATTATCCTATCTCTATATATGCGTACGAACCTTGTTGTGCATTCTGTCTGTATCCGGGGGGATATCGACCGCTTCCAGTGTTTATGGGATTCCGTAGATGGGACATGGGGGCTGACTCTCTATCTGGTATGTTATGGGAGAAGTTTGAAGTCGCATTGAGTGTTGGACCAAAGTTATTTGGTCCGAAATTTAAGTTATCTTGGGAATTTCTACGGTTTCTATGGGAATGGTAGCTGTGGGCGGCAGCGGCAACCGCAAGGGACGCAACAGAGGCATTGTTGATAACATTGTTATTGTTGTGATTATTGTTGTTTACAACAACATTCAGATTGTTGATGACCAGGTTGTTTGTCGTCGACGCAGACACGGACGTACTCGCTGAGTTCTGTTAGAATTTAACAACTTTTAATTTGGTCTTTGCTATTAATATATAAACTTATATTAACCTCCCACCAAGTTAATAAATATGATGTGGTTTTTTGTGTTGTAATTATGATACACGAAAATGTCTTAAAATAAATATATGTATATTATTTTATATCATTTTTGCATAATGCTAATTCAAGTACAAGGCTTATATTGATAATATACAACCTACATTTTAATACTTTCCCCAGTTGCACTTTTTGGTTACTTTCTTCTTGCTTTTTACTCGTGAAGAAGTGAGAATGAGAGACTATGTGGTACTATAATATACTTACCTATTAAAAGTAGTTGGTAACAGCTTTTCCTTCGATGTCAGCTAATAGTAACGCAAGTGATAACAGCAGACCATTATAACTAATATATAGAAATGAATCCAGAATTTAAATTCAGGATTTGCTTATTTAAAATATGGCGTAAATAAGATGATAATGAATGTAAAGAAACTCGACTAAACTGCAGTTTTATAGACTATTTATAAATTAACAAAATTGAATACAAGACATCTTATCAACGCCATAAACGCATATAATATGTATATAAATATAATAACTTCGAAATCACAAACTAATGACCCCAAACCAAAAACAAAGGCACAATCCACTTACCGTTACATCTCTATCTTCTTCATTATCTATTGTACTTTGATGGTATCGCCTGCTGTTGACTGATCCTTGGCGAGTATTCACGTGGTTTGAAGACGGGGTATTTCCCGTAAATCTCAAGCAACAGCTGAGCCAGGAGTGACGGTGGCACAAACGTGCACATTCCTTTTGGAACTGTTGGTAAAAGATATTATAAATACATTGGAAAATCAAATGGCTAAGTGTGAATCGATTCTTATTTAGGTATTTTCTTTGTATTTTTTATATTTCTATTCACCATAGTAGCACAGACAAAATTGTATAAGTGATAACAATATCATAATATAGTATACAGAAGCGTCTCACTTACTATTTCATTTTGTAGGCAATAAAAGACGAATATGAAGACTCCTTGCAGTGAATTCAATATAGAGAATAAGTACGCAAAGATGACTGTCTGTTCGTTTATGTACAAAAGACCGAAAGTCCATGTTAATCCGAGAAGTACTGCTAGGACCATTGAACTGATTAACCAGACTCTGTAATAGAAAAAATATAAAAAAATATATTAACAGTACCATTTTTAGTATATTTTTGAAGTAAAAACTTCTATTAGTCGTCATCGACATGGTCACGTGACGTGTTAATGCTAGTCGCTAACACTCAGAGTGTCGATAGATGTCAAGACCAGATAAATGTAAACAGTTTTAATTTACACATTTTAATTTAATATGAAAAACTTAATTTGAATATCCAAAAATAACAACTGTTTGTTTATAGTTTTAAGTTTTCACTTCTGTCGGCAGTCCTTATGACTGACTGCATTTTATAAAAAAAAAACTAAAAATTTCTTAGTTATTTTTTTTATAAAATATATTATATACATACAATCATAAAATGTATAATGTACAATAATATATGCTTGCTAAATATATTATTATAGGGACTTAAATTATTATAGGGAAAATAATTAAAAAATCTTTATGCTAGTATCAAAATGTCTCATTTGAATAAAAAAAAATTAAATTTAGTAGTATTGTAATTTAAAATATATCACGTATATGATTTACATACCTTATATTATGTAATTTGGAATTGTCTTTTGTTTTAAGGGATACTTTTGAATGGCTGCACATCTTATAAATCACTAAGCCTAGGACGACCCAGTTCACCTGAAAATGAAATATAATATATAAATATTAACATTATATATGTATATAGAAATTCTTTCCATTCAAATCAATGTAAAAATTGGTATTATTAGACAACCCTTGTATTCACTTCCACTTCACTTCCTTTAAAATCAAGACGACCTACATACAATACAGATTTTTAATCTATGGTATAGTCTATTTTCATTCAAAAAAAAAACCCACCGCAACAACAAAACGCAGCGGTACCCACGAAGCTCTTGACAAACATGTTCTGCGAACGTTCGTTGGATAACGATTTTAGGGTTGACGGGTACAACTATAACTTGCCACGAGATGGCACTACTATGCTCTAATTTCAAACCTTTCACCATTAAAATTGTTTGACAATCCTTGTTTTGACAGCATTTAATTTAAAATCAAGACGACCACCGCCTTCGTGTTTAGCCCATTTATTAAAAAAATAGTTAAATTTGTAGCAGATAATAGAATTAAATTATAATATTTATATGGTCTCATTATTTATGTATTTTTATTTTCAATCATTGTGCCATTTTTGTATCGCGTAATTATCTGTCGATTGTAGCTCCGATCTTTTTGTATGTTTGTTGTATTTTTATTGTAGACCGATCATTCATTTATAGTTTTATAATTCTACGTTTGAGCTGCTAAACAAAATTACTGCTCAAACTCAATCGTGTTTCATCATAATACGTGACACTGGCAGAATGTATTGCGTCTCTTAACGTAACTTTTAAGCCACTAAAGAAAAAAAAGACAACCATTAACTTAAATTTTTGAAGTAAAACTTCTTTACGCACGCTCGACTTGGGGAGTAAGCTGGTGAATGCGTGATGAGAGCGTTACGAAAAGAGTGATTGGGAGTAACCGTTGTTATTGTCTGACAAATGATATAAAATATAAAATATTATATTCTTTCCTTAAATGATATTCTAAAAATATATGATTGTGATATGCCTATACGCATATCAGCGTTATTTTTAGTATCTCACCTATCCTAATTATTTAAAACATAAATTGAATTTCATAAAGAGTACCGATAACCTACAGAAGTTTTACACATTGTACACATTCGTACACGCATTCTTTATCTTTTTATTCTGTGGCATACTCTACTTTAAAAAAAAGCCAACTGACCGCAACAACAAACGCAGCGGGGCCCACAAAGCTCATGATGAACATGTTCTCGGTGGACAGCCAGCAGTGGTCCCTCGTGCCGTAACCGCGGTAGGACACGGCGGCGGCCACCAGCACCACGAGCGCCGGCGCCGCGTACGCGCCCGCGCAGTACCAGCGAGTACGACGATGCTCAGGCTCGAACACCTCCACCAGCAACGAGTATAGGTGGAAACCTGCAGACAAACATGTCATATTAATACTTAACGATTTAGATCAAATTTTGTTTTTAGATAAGGTATTGTTTTTTAAGTTTATCAACATAGGTCGTCTCTGACATAAATGCAATTTTTATAATATATTGTTTACACAAACATACCTTCCAGAAACATCCAGGCGAAAGCAGCCAAGAAAAAGTAATGAAGTAAAGCGGCAATAACACCACACAATGTCCTGTTTTGTGTCTGGTCTATGCCGGCCATGAATATGACTTCAGCGATCAGTAAACATAGACACAGGTTCTTGTGTATTAGCACACGTTCCGACTGAAAAAAATAATTTATTAAATTAAAAAATTAGAGCTTTTAGAAAAGTACATTAACATTAAATAGCTAATCTTATGATGTAGAAAAGTTTTTATGAAAATTTAAAAATGATTAAAGTGCTAACAATATTTAATATCAAACAAACATAATATAAATAGTTTTGTCTTCAATAAAATTACTACTCTATTGCTTTCACGCTTTCTTTCTTTGATTAATATAATACTTTACTTGCTCTCCGAAGTATCAGGGTGTAACACCACCAACTTCCCAACTCTTGCTCTTACTGAGCATTTCTTGACAAAAACCCCAATAACTTTATTGGCTTAACCAGGGACTCGAATTCAGAATCTCCGAATCTGCAGTTAACTTTACTAGACCAATATGGCAGTTGGTTTAAGCGCTACTAGCTAACATATATCTATTATTAAATAAAACTATCTTTTCGGATTATTTCGCGGATTTATTTTGATTTTTGGTTCCCGACGTTTCGAATGCTTTACAGCATCCATGGTCACGGGAGAGACTGAGGTGTTACATGTCTTAAAGATATAGTTGTTACAGACAGCCTACCCACAATTAACAAAATGAAAATTGCACCAATTACATTACAATATTTTTAACTTTAAACATTTTTTATAATTTTAATTATAATTGAATATGGAAAATTATTTATTTAATTTTTGCTATTATTTTTATAATTATTACAATTTTAAAAATATTAATTAGTAATCTATATTTAGTGTTGCCATTATTATATTTATAACCATAAATAAAAATATAAAAATATAGTATTAATTATTAAAGCCATATAATTGTTCTATGTGTAATTTAAAAAGTTAAAATTAATTACGGATAATCATTTTAATTTAGTTTGCTATTATTTAAAAACAACTTACTAAGCAACACTATTAATATATACTTTTACAAATGAAAAATGTTGCTTAGTAAGTTGTTTTTAAATAATAGCAAACTAAATTAAAATGATTATCCGTAATTAATTTTAACTTTTTAAATTACACATAGAACAATGGCTTTAATAATTAATACTATATTTTTATATTTTTATTTATGGTTATAAATATAATAATGGCAACACTAAATATAGATTACTAATTAATATTTTTAAAATTGTTATAATTATAAAAATAATAGCAAAAATTAAATAAATAATTTTCCATATTCAATTATAATTAAAATTATAAAAAATGTTTAAAGTTAAAAATATTGTAATGTAATTGGTGCAATTTTCATTTTGTTAATTGTGGGTAGGCTGTCTGTAACAACTATATCTTTAAGACATGTAACACCTCAGTCTCTCCCGTGACCATGGATGCTGTAAAGCATTCGAAACGTCGGGAACCAAAAATCTAAATAAATCCGCGAAATAATCCGAAAAGATAGTTTTATTTAATAATGTCAAACATTCGCGTAAATCTAAGAAAGTATTATAACATATATCTAATAAGAAACCATACACAATAAACATACCTTCATATTCCTAAAGCAGTGAAACACCAATGAGGCAGCAACCAACGCCACAACGGATATACCACAGCCTATAAAAGTGACCAGCCGTAACGCCATCTCGTGTACAGAACTCAATGGAATTCCATGCACATCCATCAGAATGGCAAAGTTTGTTAGATGGGTGCAAGCACAGCCCGTGTGGGTTCTGTTAGACCATTCTACTTGACAACCTTCTGGTGACCAGCCACTATAAATTATAATAATTTACATTAATTTAATAATTGGAAAATTTTGTAAAGGAGGTTCAAAACCTAGCTGTTACATCTAGAATTTTCTACGCAAATCGTAATTTTGAGCTGTAAAAAAGGGAGGCGTAATTTGGTTCAATGTGTTTTTTGTGTGTACATAATATGTTACGAGATATACTCGTCAAATTGTGATTTTTTTCATTTTCTTTAATAATGTACATATAAATTAAAGGAATAAGATCCTTAGAAAAAATTATAATAAATTGATATTGAAGCGGGGAACATTATTAATTAATAAGTTTTTGTGAATGTTAGGCGCATTTGTAATGGGACGTTCAAGGGCTGAATTTTTATAATTATTAGTAAAAGCAAATATAATAATAAAAGTACTTTATAGTTTTTAGCGATATACCAATTAACAATTATGGGCAAAGAGTAGAGGATGTTTCTTAGAATGAAATAAGCAAAAAATAATAAATATGAACTCACTGTAATGTATAGTCCCAAAAAACACAAGCCGGATTTGTTAGGTTTTCAGTCTTCAAATGTTTCATTGTGAGACGAACCATTTGCGAAAGCTGAATGTGTCTACCATTTCCTAGACTGGCCGATATCACCTGGAAAAATATTAATATAGGTTATTATTTCTATTTATGCCTTAATAGTTGAGTGAGTCATCTATGGATTTGTCGTGGCAATTCAGCCGGGCGTGAAGTCAAGAAACATATTGGTAAGTTGCCCACTTCGGTGGTCGGTGTGCTATGCGGGTTGCTCCTGGTACTTCTGCGATAGCAGAGTGGACCTTGGAGCAATCCCATGGCTGTTGTGGTCTGCTTCGGCAGACTTGCCGTCGGGGCGTCGAAGTTGAGTGCGTAAGCGATCCTGCGACGCCCTATTAAGACGGGGGAAGCTCTGTTGGATTTTAGTGGGTAGTACTGACTTACTAGCCGGTGAGTTACACATAACCACCTGTATGTATACAGGTGGTACGCATAAATGTATTTCCTAACATTAAAAAAGGGTATCTATGGATAAATAGAAGACTGAGGAATAAATATTCTGATTGTGAAATGGCACACGTTGAGAAATGACCGAAAGTGGACTGAAAAGGGCTAATGATAATGATGAAACATTGTGAAGTTCAATGTTATTTCTTAATTTAAACTGATTTAAAAATATCAATAAGTTTCTTTCTTAAATTCTCACTTTTCTTTGATTATAAAAAATATTGTCAAGCATTCTTTATGTCGTTGATATTTAACAATAATAAAATGAAACCATACCTTAGAGTTCAATACTCTTGTGACATTCTTCTTCTCACGTTCTGAGTTCAGACTGGTAGAAGATCCTTCAGTAGAATACGCTGCAAATTCTGGATTCTTCCCAAACGTCGGTGGTAATATTTCTTCTAAGCCGTCGAACGCGAAGAAGACTATCCTTACAAGATCTACTTGATGGTTTTCTAAAAACAAATAGTTATAAATAAGTATGATGTTAGCTGTAGCTATTAATTACAGAAACAGTTTATATATTATAGGTAACTGGATGATGATGAATTCAATACGACATTTACAAAAACTGGTTCAGTTTGGGAGTTAAACCCATATTTATGAACATAATGTAATTTAAATATAAATAAATAAATCAAAGGCTTAATCGAATAGATTGTTTATTATTATTATAATTTAGTAACTGAAAAATTTATAATTCTTAAGATTCTGTCGCTCTATAGATTCATTATATAATATTGGAACATTCTTTTTCGCTTAAAACATAGATAGATAGTCAGTTAGTCAGTCTTATAAAATTCTAATATAGATCAGGTTGACGATATTATTGTAACTGAAATCCATACACATACTCTTACGAATTTTCGCATTTATATTAATGTGGTATATTATGAATTCACCTAAAAGAGCAGCTTTGGGTATGGTTATGGTGTCTTCAGATGCTTTCCATTGTTCTTGAGCTATCGCTGAAGGAAACGTTTCGTCCTCTACATTCTTTACTTCTAAAACCCGTACAGATAAACCTGGAAATGAATTTTCTTATGTTATAGGTTTTCTTTTTTTTAATGTTTTCACGTATGGTTTAAGGCAGTCCTCATTTTGCCAGGGTTTGAATATGATAGATTATGTATATCATATATAATCTATCATATTCAAATTATATATGATTATCATTATAATCTTATTGATTGAATTTCTTTTAATTAAAACTTATCTTTTAGTATTTTTGCTCAAATATATTTTAATTTAAGGTTCCCGACGTTACGAATGCTTTACAGCAATCATGGTCACGGGAGAGACTTTATTCAAGCATGTGAATGGAAACCAAAAATCAAAATAACTCGCGAAAAAATCCGAAAAGATAGTTTTATTTTAAATGTCAAATATTCGCGTAAATCTAAGAAAGTAATATAAAATGATACTTACAAATATTCTTAACAGTTTGTAATATTGTCTTCTCAGTGGTAATAGCGTCGGCCAATAGAAAAGCGTTTTCTTCGAGCTGAGTTAATAAAGCACTGGCTACTCTGTTCTGTGCGTCCGCGCTTAAATCTGACCAGCAAGCTCTTTGACTCTCTTCTAGAAGATTCGATCCTGAAAAAAAAAACAATTTTAGTAAGCCCAGTAGTAGCAGTGGACATGGGTTTCATATATATTATGTGTATTAAATAAAAAAAAAAAGATTTAAGTACATTCAGTACCAAAGCTCTTGTTAGTTAGGAAGAAGATAATAAAAGAAAGAAAGTGTGAGAAGATTTAGGGGTTTTATAATGAAAAATAATTGAAAAAATTTTTTTTTGTATGTTCTGTTTGTTTATAACAAAATCTTACCGGTTTTAATAACGCCAAATAACATGTCAGTAACGATAGCTTCCTTTTGACTGGGATCTGTGAATGTTTGGACATTTTGTGACATTCTCTGAGCGAGCTTCTTCATTATATTGGTTGTGGTCATCATGTCCCCTCCATAGAGCGTGTTTGATGATGTCACCTTGAAAATAAACTAAATATTAGAATATTATATTATTTCTTACAGTTTTATACACGGGAAAGATTAGGTAATTGGTCAATACCGAAAATATATATTTTAAACGTAAGGAAAATAATTTTACCATAAAAATAAACTTTTTTAACATCAGTCTATAAGAAAAAAAAAATTAAAGACGAAAATATTATCGGTACAGTTTTATACAATACATGTAATAGTAACATTAATTCTTTATACAGTTCAATTTTATTTTGATCTTAAAATAATATTTAAATCTAACAGATACAAAAATTAGGACCAAAAATGACAAAAAAAACTTCCAAAACTTCGATATCAGTATTAACATTATAACATATACCTGTGCCAAGTCATTACTGATGCTGAGTAAGGACTCTCCCTCTCGAACCCTCGCCTCAAGGCTGTTGAGCCAGACCGACCGGCACTCGCTGAGATCTGGAGTAGCCCCATGCCATTCTGGAACTGAATCCGCTGAAACAAGTATTATATAATGTATTTTAAACGATCTCTCGATTTGTTTAGGCTTTCAATTGGAATTGAAAACGTCAAGTTTTATTTACCTACTATCTAAACATTTAATATGCATGTATTATGCATATTACATATAAACGTTTATGGATCATTTTATTCCTTAACGCAAGAGCTATAATAGTGATAACAATATCAAAATCGATTGGGTAGTTGAGATGAAATCATCGGACAAACAGACATACGCGGATAGGGATTGTTACTGTTTAAAGTTTTTATAAGCATAAGCTACGTGACATGCATATTGAGTTTATTAGTCATAGGGCTCTTACTAATATGAGCCAAAGTAAAGAAATGAAGGACTTGTATGATCACTTCATATCTTCAACTAAATACCTATCCTGGAAACTTGATATCAGGATAAACTCTTCATATGACGTAAATGATATCTATACAAATACTTTCAAAACCAAAAAATGAAATAACATATTTTAGCATTTATAAAATGTTAAGGATAATGTACTTACAATAAATAATATCTCCATTGGAAATAAGGTTATGGCTGGTTAGAACATCTGGCATACTCGCAGTCCCGCGGTAGTCTATTAGGTGTTCTGGAGAGTCACCGTCACGACCTAAAATATAAAACTTGGGTTAAAATCTTACCTTCTTTACCTTAGTCTTGAAAAGTAAGCAAAGAAGATAAGAAAAAGAGAAAACAGAATATTACTGCCTTGTTGTTCTAGTAGTAGTATCTTTTGATAAAGATCCGGAGATCTTGGGTTCGAGTCCCAGGTCAGGTCAAATCAGGTCCAATATACAGATTAAGTTGGTCAGCCAAAACATTCACAGCCCGGAACAGACAAGCCGGAGGTGTTTTTTAAGATTGATGTTATAAATTTGTATCTGTGTGTGTCTGTCTGTGGAATCGTAGCGCTCAAACGGCTGAACCGATTTTTATTTAGTTTTTTTATGTTTGAAAAATGACTTAATCGAGAGTGTCTTTATCTATAAATGAAGAAAATCCGATCAGCCGTTAGCAGACTATCAGCTCTTTTCTATACGATAAAAGGACATAAGCTTTCATCATAAATCCATTCGAAACATGGTATCCTGTTACTTCAATACATTGCAACGATATGGTAAACATGGCTTGATGCTGCAACCAAGAATCTAAATCGATACCGTGTTTAATATAAAATGTAGTAATTTAAAATTTTAAAGAGCATCTTACCTTTCAATAAATTTTCCGAACCCAATCTCCTGATGAGTTGCATTTGCCTATCACTAGGCTGATCTAGACCTAGGTCGTGGTAGTTTTCTCCGGACTGTAACCCTGGACTTCTCCTTCTTGGTCTCTCTTCTTCTATGTAGTGGTGATTTGTTAATGTACATCTGAAATTTAAAAATTTAATTGGTTTAAATATTTACTTCTATTGGTTTCAAATTTAAATGTTTAACTAGGAATTCTTTCTTTTTTCACCTTCGCTTTGCTCGGGTTCGTCCCTAGGTATGAAATATATAGACTATATATTATATGATATATAGCCTATACCGTTTCTCAATAAATGGTTATCTAATGCAAAAAGAATTCTTTGAATTGCATTAGTAGTGCCTGAGATTAGCGCGTTCAAACAAAGAAACAACAAACTCTGTCTCTTTATAATATTAGTATAGATTATTCTTTTATATGGTCAAATAAAAAATCTCTTATAACAACAATACATGTTAAATAATATGTACAAAAATAGGATTTTCCAAAATTACACAATTTAAATTTCTTGTAAAATTCTATTCGAATAAAGTATATTTTGAATGGGTTTTATTTCATAAAAACAAACGCCTTCATCTTTGTGCCACTAATATTAGCAAATAAACAATAAAAAAAACCACTTACTTCCATCTAGCTAACCCTGTAGCACCTCCCGGACAAGGTTGTACTGCGTAAGTGCCAGCCAATGTCCAGTTCCAATGAAGACCTCTAGCGTTTATTTGTGGACAGTATGCTCGTCTGCCCATAGTTGGTGTTGAAATTGTTGCTGGAATACAATGACAATCATCAGAATAATATAAATGCGAAAAAAATGTATGTAAGTATGTATGTTTGTTTCTCATTCAAGCTGAAACCGCATTCACCAACAATTGTTTACACGGTTTATATAATCAGTATACAATCTTAGATATTCTTGTAATAGTGTAACAATTACTTAAAGGTAAACTCCACATGCAAATTGATTATAATGGTAACAAAGAAGTCAGTAAAAATAATGCCTAACTTTCACAAAAATTAACTTAACCATACCATACCAAGAAACGTAACATTAGATTGTTATTCAATATCTTTAGGTAATTCCACTACGCTTAGACAATTTTGTTGGTGGGTGAAATTATTGTGTACTCACAGAAGGACTTTTCAAAATCATCAATAATATCAAGATTTGGTCGGTTTTCTTTGGGTGGCATATGGTGAACGGGAGATGTAGGATCAGAATCCTCATCCCTTGATGGCCAGTGAAGAGTTTCATCCGTGACTGTTGCTATGAAAAAATATTTATTTAAACTAAGAATGCTAGAAAAAATGTTCAAAAGAAATAAAAACTAAAAGACAATTTGAATATTACAGAACGAAATTTACAGATTAAAAATGTGTAACGCTGAAATACCTAAGTTGCTTTTTAATATCAAACTTACTCTATTTCAAAGGTAAAGTTTTTATTACACAAAATAAGAGGTGTATTTAATGAAGTCTTTTACAAAAAATATAGATAAAAAAGATTTACAACGTAATTACAACTTTTTTTTCTGATATAAACATCCAAAAATTATACTGCTAATATAATGCAAAAATTTGTATGTGTGTTTGTGATTTCTTTACGATAAAAGGGCTGTACAGATTTAGATGAAATTTAGTATACAGAGAGATCTGGCTGTGTATAAAATTATAAAAATTAGGCATTAATAACAAAATGCACTAGGCGCCTTTTAGTAGCCAGCCTTTTAGTATCTACCAGAAAGTAGCTAGGGTAAATCACTAATATTTTATACTTACGAGTTTCAATTTCTTTCGGTTTGTCTATTTTTGGAGTTTCTGGAACAACAGATTTGGGTGTCTCGTCTTTAACTTCAGGTATTTTGTCTATAGCACTCTGAGGTGGTTCTCTTTCTGATGATGAATCTGGTTGTTTTGTTGTAGTCTTCTACAAAAAAAATACCATTCTTAAAACTGAAAACTCAAAAATATTTAAAGGTTTCAAAATGAGGTCGAAATGAGGAGGTTTCGTAATAGTTTTTTTTTATTATTGGCACTTTAGGGCATTTTTGGCAATTTCGATTTATTTCAGTTTTGGTTATTGAAAAAGCTGACAATTGCTTAATGACTGAAAAAAGCTTAATGCGAATTATATACATCTGTAATACTTCGAATGTAACTGAATATTCTATCGCATTAGTGGCCGCAACCACCGGCAAATTGTTAATAATTAGCAATTGCCCGCGGCTCTGCCCCAATCCGGCATGCACATTATTATTCAATCGATAACCGTGTTTAATCATTCTACTTCGACTTGTATGCATTCTGCGAAAGTTCATTTAAGTATGTTTATACTTCGACCGTAAATATATAATAATATTATATAATATTATGTATTCTTATATAAGATTCACTAATATGATCTTCCAATCCTTTAATGACTTTCATCTCTCGCGATGATTATTATTTTATTAAAATACATATATGTATATTAATTTTAATTTTATATAATCAAAAATTTACATTTCAACTCCTAATCTCTTTTTTTGACCTGATTAGCTTACTTTCTTAACAATATTTACTGGCGTTTTAAATAAAACGTCAAAATTCCCAACCTTAGTTGCAATATTTCCAAGTTGAACTTCTGGAGGTAGTGTGATATGTGGTCTGAACGTTGGGGGTGTAATCACTGTGGGCTTCTTCTTCTCTTGTGGGGTAAGTACTGGGTTCTTGGGCATGGGGGGTGCGGTGGACCTCCATACAGTCGGCTGAGATGTGATTAACCAAGGTGGTGATGGCCTCGTTGTCGTACTTGTTGTGGACGCTGGAAGATAATTATTATTTTAGCGTTTTAATAAGAAAATTATAGTTTTAGATTATAACTATTCTAGATGTAACATAAAAACTACGTTTTATTCCCTTTTTTTCAATGTAACGAATGGATTAATGTAAAAATTTATATAAAGTGACTCTCCGATGTTCCGTTCAACCGATTAATATCCCACAGAAACCATATTAGAATAAGAAAATGAAAACGATTAATATTAAATACATCAACTAATATACTAAACCAACAAACACGATCGCTTTTAATATTAGCTATACATATTTTACTTAAGAATTTTCGAACTTTTATCAAATTAGCGTTGTCATTTTTATTGGAACTTTATTTGAAGACTACATCTATTTGTTATTAGAAATAACAAATTATTACATTATTGACAAGGAAAAAACGTAAGCTTTTACGTTGATTATTATATTAGTTGCTAATAAAGTGCTCAAATTGAGTAAGGCTGCAGAAAAGTCTAAATTGTAGCAAAGTAATTTTTTAAATAAAACTATCTTTTTGGATTTTTTTGCGGATTATACGGGATCTCTCCCGTGACCATGATTGCTGTAAAACATTCCAAACGCCGGGAACCAAAAATCAAAATAAATCCGCGAAAAAATCCAAAAAGGCACTCGTAGTTTTATTTAATACCAGCGACTCACCCTCGTTTAGCTTCAGGTTCGTCCCTAGAAAAAAAACAAATCCATCCCACGGGATCCGTACACTTTTCGTGAATATAAAGTATTCTATGTGCTATTCCAGACTATAATCTATTTATGTGCCAAATTTCATTTAGATCCATTCAGTCGTTTTGGGGTGGAAGAGTAACAAACATCCATCAATCCTCACAAATTTTCACATTTATAATATTAGTATGGATGTCAAATATTCGCGTAAATCTAAGAAAATATTATGTAGCAAAGTCATTTAAAATTAAATTTTGTTATACATATATTTAAGTATCGAATATATCTAGGTTGACACCTAACAATGAATAATGAAGTGTCTTACCCGGCACACACTGGTAGTGGGCTTCTAAATATTTGAGTGTATTCGGACAGGGGTCACCGAACATATTTGTACTGGCTAATATACTGCAGTTTTGATGCATACTACACCTGTAAATAAACAAATTTTCATTATATCATATACATATATTAACATTGAATAAATATAAAAAAAAAATAACTGTACCTATAAATATAAGGAACTATAAATATAAGAAACTGAATGTGATGTTGGTAAGCGCATTATTAGAGAACGGTAAAATTAAGGTATACCTACGAAAAAATTGAAAGTGCTTTTTTATCGGGACTTTACATATATTCAATGATAACAAACAAATTTAATGATTTTTGAAGAGGACAAGGTCTATCGGATGTTATAAATGTCTGAGCGTTATAAGTAACAGTAGAGACATGGAAAACTAAGTTTAAACATGCTACTTTAAAACTAATAATAATATGTATTATTAATAGTAATAACCGAAACAAACGTTTGAACAATAACAATAATAAAATCAGACATCAGCGAAAGCTCAAACAAAAAGCTTTAAAGTTTACATTACGCACGAATAATTTTGTAATTTCAAAATAAACTATGAACAGCATAATTATGGGACGCGTCATTTATCAACAATCAATTTAGGCGTCGCTTACACGACTGAGGGGCACTTTATTGGCAATCTACTACTAAAGCTATTAACTTGAGAGAATATTTAATTTTAGGGGTTGATAAGGTAGCAAACACATGAATTGAGGTAGCTTCGTGCTGATTTTTAGTTTTTTCACGTTTTTGCTAAGCTAATAGTTAGTGAGATAGTTTACGACTGCCCTGTTTGAAATAATTTGTCTTTTGTGATAGTAAGAAAAAGCTCCAATCATCTATTATAAAACATAATGTAAGTTCGTCTATTGGGGATTGAAAGCTCCCTACTATTAGTTTCAAGTTGACGAGCTTAATTTTTTTATGACTCTTGTACTATAGGCTTATAAAAATATTAATATTATAAATAAATTTTATAGTATTTATTACTACAACCGAAGATCTCAGGTTCGAATCTCATACTAAGCAAATATTTGTATTGAACATGTGTACTTTACCATTTCACTAAATTTATATTATTCTTAAAAGCTTTAGTAAAATATTTGTATATCAAATACTCGTATTCCATATAATATTTATAGTAAATATATCATTTAGAATTTACAAAATTCAGTTGGACGTATTTTGGCAAAGCTGAGTGTAAATTTTGTTGCGTTAAGCATAATGGATTTCATTACAAAGACTATCAAGTTTTCGACCAAATAATTATAACGCATTATTAGCAATTACGCCACATAATACGAGTAATCATGTTTTAGGAAATAATGACTGTGAATGAACAATAATAAGTCTATTAGAGGAATAGAGGCTTTTTCCCTATTTTATATTAAAATACGCTTTTTAAAAAGAGCTAGAATTTGAGTTTAATTTATCTCATTTTTTTAAACAAATCAATGTATGTTTATAGCTAATATATAACCTATGTAGGTATCATAATCATTACATTATCTATATAGGTATCATAAACATTACACATAAAGCTCTCTCTCCATAATATTCTCCTGACCAATTTCGACCACGGCGGCAAATTTCACTGAGACTAACTAGATACGCAGGAGATATTATAGTGCACAGACACTATTTCAATCTCTATTCCTTTCACTCCGATGGGAAGATACTTCGACACGACCGGTGAGATATATGGCACAGGATCGACGGCTTTACGTGCTCTCCTAGGCATGGGGGTCCAGCATCGCAAACTTCCCAACTCCGGGCTACTACTGAGAATATCTTATCAGAAAAACTCAATAATTAAACTTCGCCCGACCCGGGACTTGAACCCAGGACCTCTGGATCTGCAGACGTTCATGCTAGCCACTAGACCAGGACTCTATATGCTATCTCTATCTACGAAGGTGAGCTTTTATAAGCTCTTTTTATTTAAAAGTATACTAGTAAGACTTTTTGGTTAATAGGTATACATAAATATGTAATAACAAAGCGCATGTGGTCAGGTTAAAGCCGCATCTACACAACGCAACAATTCCATTACCAGAATAATACCAACGTAACAAATTAAACCGCACTATAGACATTTAATCCCGATATAGTTAAAATTATTTTAGATACAGTTGCAAATTTCGAATGATGTATTTTGATTCGAATATTATTTTGAAGTTCACTCTAGATACCTACTGTTCATGAAACGTATTGTTTTTATAAGTGCTAAGTGATTTTAAGCAACATTTTGTTATTGTTTTATTGAAATTAGCTTTTATATTACACTAGTGTGTGCTCAGGGCTCCACCTGCGTAGTTTATTTATGTATAATTTTCCTCAAAATGAATATGATATAAAATCGAACTATTACTTCTAAATATACTCGTATTAGCGCGTTTCTAATATACAACATATAAACTCTTCAATTTTTTATATTAGTATGTAGTAGCATGTGACGGTTAGTATAGAATAAATCGACTAGATATATTATATATACTATATTATATAAATATAATATTTATATCATATATATAATATATTAGCGCGTTCAAACAAACAAACATACAAACAACCAAATAAATAAGCAACATCTGCCTTTTCATAATATTAGTATAGATTAGTAGTTAAAGACTGCTACAGTAAACTGGCGACTCGCCTGGCTTAGCCAAGGTATAAAGTGTCACATACATACACATCGTACTTCTAATATTGAAAGGAATAAAATCTCAAACCATTCCATACAACTGGTGGCAGACATATTATATATATCAAGTAAGCAAACATACAAATCAATTTATTGTATACCCATAGATATATAGAAACTTCATAGATTATTTTAAAAAAATAACAGAACTTTTCTTTTGTACTATAACTTTGAAGTGCCTAATTTATAATGAAAACACATAATCACAGCATTATTAGCAATAGTTTATTTTTTTTTAATTAAAATAGACTATAAACAATTGGCTTTTGTTTATATAACAAAGCTCATACCAATAAAGAACAAAGGAGTTATCAGATTTGATTAGAGACGTGAGATACATAGGAATTGTTCTTTATATACTACTATATTAAATTTTCGATTAAATTGTTATAATATTATATCGAGGTATTGGTTTAAAAATTGATTCGATTTGTGTGTCGAGTCCAAACCAGAATGCGCAATTGGAACCTCTGATATCTTATGATTTAGCTATTGTGATTACTATTACTAATTTTAACATGCTGCTTCACTTGTGATGTACAATAAAGGGAAAATTACATATAAAAAAATCAACAAACAATCAAATATAACCGCTTTATAATGTTGTTATCTTATAGATGCTTAATTGAACAAGACAAAAATTGGCGGCTAGGATCCGCCATTTCGATTTGTAATGATATCTATATGTATATAACCTATGACACTTCGTTATAAAGACGAATCGAGTGACGTATGAATCATCAAAATCGGTTAAGCTGTTTAGTAATTACAAGGGATTATAAGATCAGACATACATATATGCATACATACAGTTTTAACACATAACCCTCCTTTCGCCGCAGTCGGACAAAAAGATTTACATGAATTTAGAGGGTTAGAAGAACACAAAGTTAAAAACAAACCTGCTGTGTAAAACTCGTAAGCTCCTAGTGCTCATGCAGTTTACACTCCAGTCGGTGTTTCCATGGTCATTGCATATTGTGATGGAGAATCTCCCATAGTTCGCCCTTATGAGATGTATCACTGAGCCTTCACTGCATCCGATCTTGAGCGTTTTTCCTTCACACGCGTACGCCGTTTCATATCTTGGTTCTGAAAATAAAATAACGTTTTAATAAGACTTTATTTGGACAGTTCATTTTATGACCGATTTCAAAGAGAAGTGGTACTTAATTTGAAGATAAAAATGAATGAAGTGTGGAACGATTTTTATGGTTATTTATGTTACATAATCGTGCCCACTATAACTTAAAAAAAATTACGATCCCTTGGATGACACAATTACTTTTAAAATTATTTTTAAATCTTTTAGCTCATCACAGACTAATAAGAGTTTCATAAAAAACAATTAAATTAAAGATCTTCGTCGAGCTGAAATGATATTTTTAGAAAATATTTTAATATGTCCATGTTTCACGTATTAATCCATGTCTGGTCCTGGTCTGGCGTGGTCCAATCTTCATCATCTATTATGCTAACATGTAAAAATTGTTATTTAAAGCAATTATTTATCAAAAATATTGCATTATTTCATTTATAATTGACATTAGTGAGACAAATATTTTTCGGGGTCAGCGAGTCTAGCACAAATAATCTAGCACCTAACTACGTCCCAAAAACAAGCCGCGGCGGGGCCATTTATTCCAGCGAAAGCTGAAAAACAACGCATTGAAAACATCGCACCAAAAATAAATCCAATTAAAACGATCCGACGTTGTTCATCGCATCGTTACGTCCAGAAACCATTTACCAATTCAAAAGCAAACACCCAATGAAAGACAAAATGAAAAACTGTCGACTCAACGTTTTATAATCAATTTCTGGACGATTCATCAGTCCGACGCAAACAAGGGCGTGAAATATTTTCTCAACTAAAGCGCTTTACATCGCCGTCAATACTCTTGGATTAGTTTTTAAACGGGAAATTTAAGATGCAATGGATGAGTTGCTCGGAAGATTTATTGCTGTAACTTCATAGCGGGTTAGGTGTGCATATTCGGGATAGGATATAATAAATCTGAGCAAATTAATGACGGCACCGACAGATCGTTTAAACCGTTTTCGCTACGTCATACAGCGAAATGAGGGCCCGAACAATACATAATGTACTGCAGTGAATCTCGTAATAGGGTTGCTTCTGATGTAAATTAGAAAAGTGTCGATAAACTTAAAGTGTGAGCGCCGTTCGACGAACAATTTCCTTTCACGTATAAAAACGAAAAAGTGGGGTTATTAATCCAAACTTCATAAGTAAATTAATGCGGCGATAAAGTACTGATAAAGCCGTACAATAAATTACGTTGAGTTTTAAACATTAGTGAAACATGGCGTAATCAAAATTTCCCGCTACAAGTTAGGTTTCTTTTGACTATAAATAATACAGCTTACAAACAGTGAGGGACGTTGAGTCGCACGATAAGTAATTATATTTATGGATACATTTTATTGAACCTGAAAATAAATATACCTGTGATAGCTATAATTATTCGAACTTAATACGGTTTTCTTATAATACAAATACGAGATAATATATCATATTTGTTGTCACATATTGGTGACAATTACGATACATAAATGTTCGGTTGTCGAAACAAATATTCTGACTGAATTGTTAAGACCATTAGAACGGTATAATTAGTACCAACTATTCAATTATTATTTTCTTCTATACACTTTAATTCTACGGTTTGTTTTGTATTTTCTTTATAATAATGGAAGTCACACTGTGATTTATTACAGGGAATGGTGATATTTTCAGAAATCGTTTTGTATTATTCAATATTTGGAAGACGTATCTATGATGATAAAATATTTCAATAGGGTTTGATTACTTTTGAATGTGCGACGTATTAGTAGGTAAATGTATTTGCTTTTGGAGTCTGAGATAGCATATTTTATTCTCAATTGAGTTTAAGATTTTATTCGTTTAGATCACACAGCGATGTAAAAAAATACGATGTCGGAAACAGCTGAGTGGAGAACGTTAAAATAATTAGGTTTTCTACAGCAAGCCTTGAAGGGATGTAACAAGAAACTCATTAAATTTTAAAATAATAAAATAAATGATATAATATGATAGTGTAAAGCATTTTTAGACTATCGACAAAAAAACCAACACTAGTGTTAGTGCACGCGAAACTACAGTTTGTATCGATAAAAAGATAAGATCGATACGCGATACTATTTTATAAATCTTTTTGCTACCTCTACACGTTGGCCCGAATTTATCAAATACTAACGATCGGTACTATTTTTGTTTTACCTGTTTTTAGTTACTAGATGTTGTAAGAAATTAAATAAATATATATATTTATAAATAGAATTAAAATGTGTGTCTGCAAATTCAAAATACTAATAATTTTCACTCAATGCTAATCTCTGGTTTGGCTGCACTAATTTTGAAGTGACTTTCACTCTCGAATTTCAGATGAATTAGATGAAATCATCAACTTCTCGTACTTTATATAATCATGAATGTAATAAAATATTTTATTGTGTAAAAGTGATCTCCTTTCTTTTTTATCCTATAGTAGATACTCGTATAAGGCCAAGGTGTAGTGATAGCATAAAAACACTTATCAGCCAAAATTTCAAGTCACCCTTAGGGAGGGCTTGTAATAAAAATGATTTATCGTCAATGTCCAGTACTTTACCTGTTATGTAGGGTCGAAAACAATTTACGAGATTCTAAGGGGATGGGGTAATTATTTTCAGTTTATGGGAAGTGTTTACAAGTTTTGATATTAAAATTTAATGGTTACCACAAAATTTTATACAGATACAATGTATTGTATATGAAAATTGTATTAGTAATTGATGATATCTTATCGATAATGTATAACAGTCTGGCTATAAATCGATAGGGTGCTACTGTATTACTTATTGGAAATACATTGGAGTACTTCTATAAATACCAAAGTTTGTATATGAGCTACAAGTGTACAATTTTATCAATAAATTGTAAAACGTGTGTCATACAAATTGTTTTAAATAATATATAAAGTATTTTCGAAATCGGTATACCTTTTTAATTCAATTCATTAGTGCGCGTGTTTGTGTTTGTGAGTGTGAGTGTGTGCGTGTGTGTGTGTGTGTATGAGTGCGTGTGCGTGTGTATGTGTGTTTTGTTACTCGTTCATACTGAAACGTCTGGACTTGAATAAAATTCAGCACACAGATAGACTATGACCATAAATAAGCTACTGTTAGAAATATAAGCTACATATAATATTATAAATTCAAAACGCATCTATGGTCCCACCCGAGCAAAGCAAGGATAAGTCGTTAGTAATCAATATATGTGAAACTCATTCACTTTGTTCGGATATCATTTCTACTACCCACACACTAATCGGTACTGCATTCGAAATATTTATTAATCCACCGAGAGCACTTCTGCACACGTAAAATTGTAATTACTTTCGCTTTTAAACAATTCCTTCGAACATAACTACCCTCTACAGCAGTACAAAGTTTTCATGCACTTTCAGTATGCCTTATTCAGTTGCAATAAGGTTGAAACTTACTTGTGTAAAGGTATTTGATAATAAGCCCCTATCATGAAACTCGTTAGTGAATACACGGAAGTGTCATTTGATATCCAGTCGCCGAATGGTGTAGACGTATCTATCTATTATCATTCGAATATAAATGCTATATCATTGGCTTATGGTTCACAATTACGTATTCTGCACGCGTGTAAATTTAATTTGGACCCGTTAACCAGCCGGTAGCCTATGGGATTAGGGAAAGTTTTATTGTTAAAATATATAATTTTAACGTTATGGGGTTTATTTAATAGATTTGTGCATTGAAATTATTTATGCACATTTTTATTATAGCGAGCTGACGGTTTCATGTGTACCTCGTTATGAAACAGCGATGACGTTTATTACAGATGTATGCATGGTTTAAAATTACAGTTATAAAATATGTATGTCAAGTTGTTATAACCTTCATGAGAAATTATTATTTTACCTCAGACTAAAAAAAATGTCAAAGTGAAATATAGTAGCGTGATTTTGCTGTTTATGCTACTATATTCGACTTTGCCATACAGAATCATTTACTCTAAAGGATAATGATTTTTTTTAATATTAATCATTAATTTACAATTTAAATATGAATAATAAAAATAATACTATTTAATATAATTTTATAGGCAATATTAGCTTATTTTATGTTTCTTTATTATAATAAAATTAGCTATTTTTATTTATTAACATTTATTTACTTGTCGCAGTAAGGAGCTTAAATTCTTTAATACGAATGAAATTTAAAATGCTAGAGCAAAAACGGATTCATCAAAAACGATAGCATTTATTGAGTCAAGTAAATTTCAATTATTTAAACTCAGTATTATAATAGTATACCATCGATCGACGCCAGGGCCATAAATTATAACGCCACTAAACCTATCTCCGTAAACTGGCAAATTGAAAAAGAGTTTTTATAGTATATTTATGGGTTCCCGCAGGATCCCTGTCACTTGATGTCACGGAAAGATTTTTCTGAGAAATTTTTTCAGGTGATGTTAGAATTGAATGCTTTATACTCCTTTCGGACCTTTCCGACAAGGGTTATGTTGTGTTACGGGATACAGCTTGTTTGATAAAACGTTTTGATAAAATTTGAATAAGCTTTGGCTGTAAGGAAAATATTATGAATGCGATAAACAATATGAGGGAATTTCATGGCTCAATGAAGAACAAGTTTAATAAGATATGTTTTAAGAGCTTTTTGTCTATGAAATTTTGCCTGCTTGTTAGTAATTCTTTTAAAATTGATTTTTTGATGGATATGATTTATACATGGTTATGACACAGTGACATCGCAAAAAACGACTGTTATATAGTCAAATAAACACATATGTCGGACTATACAGGTTTGATTTCTGCACGTGTCAATTATTTCAATATACATAAGTTATTTGAGCTTAGTGAAATCAAAGAATTCGGATTGTTATAAGAGCGTAATAGGAAATAATAATAAAATCTAATATATTAAATATGCTTAACCAAAATAAGAGCACGAAGTCAAAAACAGAAATAAAAGTGACAATTTGAACGACATACACACCCTCTGATTTAATTATTAATAATTTGCATATTTCACCCTGAAAACTGAAAGCGGTGTGTTCCAGTTGAGAGTTTACATTTTATATTATATTGTATACATGGTAGGTATATATATGCTAATTAGTAATTACATATTTGTAGGCCTATAATCCTTTAATATATATAGCTTAGTATTATAATATATACATATATAGAACTCTTCTTGTAAAGTATATTTACATAAAAAAATTAAAGTTGTTAAATATATTTGTAGGGATATTTAACGATATTTTAATATCCATCGGCTACTACTTGATGTAGTGTAATAAAAAGGCTTAACTTAGACAAATCTATGAATGTGAAAGAAAAAATAAGATTTTTTTTCACATTTAGAATGTTAAGAAAAACTAGTGTTCGCCCAGAGGTCGAATTCGACATAATCATATTTGTTTTTCTTTATTGATGACAATAAAGCTCGGGACAAACTGTGGAAAAAAAGGTACTGAATTATTTTTGTAATTTGTTTATAATTTGCTTATAATACATACTAGCGACTCAACCTTGCTTCGCTCGGGTTCATCCTCAGATACGTTTTAACAGTTAGTGAACTATGGAATAGATAGACTATATATTATATATATACAACTGCCTCGGTGGTGTAGTGGCTAGCATGTACGGCTGCACACCCGGAGGTCCTGGGTTCGAGTCCCGGGTCGGGCCAAGTTTAGTTATTGAGTCTTCCTGTATAGTAAGTCTCAGTAACAGCCCGGAGTAGGGAAGTTGGCGGTGTTTCACCCCCGTGCCTCGGAGAGCACGTAAAGCCGTCGGTCCTGCGCCTAACTCTCACTGGTCGTGTCGAGTGGTCGTCCCACCGGAGTATGAGAGTGATAGGAATAGAGAGTGCACTTGTGTCTGCGCGTACACTTGTGCACTATAATATCTCCTGCGCAGTTGGCTAATCTCATTGAGATTGGCCGCCGTGGCCGTAATCGGCTAGGAGAACATCATATTATATATACCTACATAGGTACAAAATAAACAGTTTTGAACTTTTCGATTTTTCAACTGTTTTTTTGAGTTTTACCCTATTTTTTTATACTTAATCCACCCCTGACACACCCCCAGAAAAAAAAGAATTATTCAAATCGGTCCAGCAATTTTTATATATACATATATAGTTATGTAGATAAATTCGTTGAATGTAAAGTAGAAATGATTGTACTTTGTTGCACTTATATAAATGGATATTTATAATAAATTAAATTTTACTTTATAAAATGACAAATTGTCCATACAAATAAAGGCACGTAAATATGTAATCTGAATAGAGCGAAATCTTATAGCCCTTACAATGTGGTTTGCGATGACATTAAATTCACCATTTATGTTATCGTCAACCAGATATGCTCTGAAATAAAATCTTTAATAGCAGTTATGAGACGTTTTAAATAAAACCTTGTTTAAAGAGTTACTAAGCATTGCCTTACAAACATTAATGAAAGAAAATTAATTTTATAATAGTTATTCCTGAAAATAGCAATAAAAAACATTATCTATAATTTATTTTAATTATTTAATTTAAAAAAATAATATATTATCTGTAAAATATCGTACAACTACCTAAACGTCAAGGGAACTGCATTCGAAATTTAAAAGATTCAACCGGCAGTAAATCCGAGCGGCTTCGAAACGTTGAGCCGAACTGACGTTTCACCGCAGACGATCGATATAGAATCGAACGAGTTAAGATTGTACTCCGGCTCTTCGAGGGTACTTTACGTGCATGTTCCATAAAACGCTGTCTGCCTCTAGTACATTAAAAAAATATCGTATTTTAGTATTTGCTTTAAATATAAAAAATAAAATTTAAACGACGAACGCTAAAGTACTATGAAAAATTAACTGAACATTGTTTAATTTTTAATAATTCTTTAGACTTTTTGAATATCTATAGTTACTAATATTATAAGGAGACAAAATTTGTTTATTTGCTTAAACGCGCTAATATTTTTTTGCATTAGATAGCCCGCTTATTGAAAAAGGCTATATATCATCATGCTACTACCGAAGGGACCGGAGCAGTAATATAATATCTAGTCTATCTATTCCATACTAACAGTTAAAACGTACCTACGTAGGGACGAATCCGAGATTTTAAACTATAGTCACATCTACCATGCCTAAAAGACAAAAAATAATTTTAAATGTCTTCTTGGAAAATTGATTTTTTCCATTGTTGCTGGGTCAAAGCTACTCATATAAGACGGAATGTGTACATATATACTAGAATTTCGCAAAGAAAGCTGTTTTACGACTTTTGACTCTCTTAATATAAATTGATTTAAAAATTTCTATAATAGAAAAAAAACATTTGCTTGTACATAGTACAGATTATGCTATGTAAAATATAAAGTTGATTATTTTACGTTTTGAGCCTAAATAATATAAACGTAGAGTCAGAAAATGAGTAAATTCTATAGTAGATATAATATATCTGTAGCCTTGTATTTAAAAAAAAAAACGAGAAAAAAAGTAAAATATTTAATGAAATGAATCGTGCTCAAGACTCATATAGAGTCCATTACTATGTTTAATTACAGTTTCTTACATCTACTCTACAGCTGGAAAGGATAGAAATTCAAGTGTTTTCTACACAACGGCGTTATCAAGGAAGGCGATCACGCGATCTGGTCATTAATTGCAAAGACATTGGATGCAGAAACTAAATATAGTAAATTAGGTCGCCGAGGTTGAAACTAAAAAGAAAAGTTGTTGGAACAATATTTATTATTAGAAACTTTCTGTAATATTTAACGATGTGAATTTTACTTTTTGGATAAAATATTAACTAATTCCAGGTAAATTTCTAAGAAAATAATTGAATTTCTAAGAAATCTATTGTTAACTGTAACGCCGGCCTGTCCGCGGTCGTTGAGGGATTAAATAGGAATAAAAAAAGCTGTATTTTTCAAAAGTAGTATTGGCGTCTTACATAATCTGCCAAATTCTTATTAATGGAATCAAACATTACTTATTTGTAACAAATATGTAAGATTCACAATAAAATATAATTACCTGAAAAACTTAAAAAAATACCATTTTAAATTCACACTATATTGAAAGAACAAATGAACTATGAAATAGCCAACTAGAGTAGATTCAAGGCATTTTTATCACGTCATATTAATTAACTAGCAAGTTGTCCGAACGTTTTCATGCTTTATTTGATTTGGCATAAACAAAGCTTGTGATTTTACGCATGTCTGACTTAATACGGATTGAGCGGCTATCTATATCAGCCAAGGGTTCCCATAGGTTACCTTTGATTGCCCAATAAGATTATTTCGGTCGAATGCATTTGTTGTTGCTAAAGAAGACATCTCTAGAACCTTTGTAATATGTCCGAGATATACTCATAAAGTCTAACCTTGATATTTTAAAAGTATCTGTGTTAGAATTATTATTATGGTTCCTTGTATATCTCTTTTTGGTTTTTCTTTCTGTCTTCTTGGTTGCTTGTAAGAGATAGCTCATTTAAGGATAAGACCACCTAATGTAAAATCTTTATTTTGATATGTTTATAATTATTAAGAGACCGATTAAAAAATAAACAGATATATTTGTATTGTATCGTAAGTTTTATTCTAATATATTCAGATGCACCTACTGTATTACAGTGGACGACAAGAGTTTCTATGCCACACCATATTACGATAAATGCTCAAGGGTTCTATCTTTACTCGAGGTGAATGTTTATTTCCATACTATTTTGCACACACTTTTGATATGCCAATGCTTAATTTATACATTCACTGTGTTATTTAAATATTAAATATCCCGACGTTTCGAATGCTTTACAGCAATCATGGTCACGGGAGAGTCTAAGGTTTAGAAGTCTCAAAGGCATTATATAGTTTTTACGGACAGCCTACCCACAAAATAACAAAATGAATTCATTTTATGATATTTATTTTTCTGTAAAGTGTTCAAAATGTCGGGAACCAAAAATCAAAATAAATCCGCGAAAAAATCCAAAAAGATAGTGTTAATTTATTGAAACTATTATAAAAGAAAGTGATATTATGATAATACTTTTAATCCAAGTGATTCGAGAGCAGGTCAAAATAAGTTGTCAAAAGGTCTGCGTTAAAGGAAATACCGCGCAGAGCCAACAATAAGGGTCGAGACGGAAAAGAACCCTTAGGGGTTTTTAACAGTTTTCGGGAGATGTATGCACCCCCGGTCACGTCTCATATGAAGTAGCTTCCTGCATAAGCGGTTTCATTTTTCTTTTTTCCGTTCAATGTTACTGGACGCATTCTTTGGCCATTATAATAT